GTGAGAGAGAGAGAGAGAGAGAGAGAGAGAGAGAGAGAGAGAGAGAGAGAGAGAGAGAGAGAGAGAGAGAGAGAGAGAGGGAGAGAGAGAGAGAGTACTGCTGCAACGTGAAGGCAAAGCAACTCTGAGCGTACGATGCGAAAGCACAAGTGATGATCCCAAAGAGAGAGAGAGAGAGAGAGAGAGAGAGAGAGAGAGAGAGAGAGAGAGAGAGAGAGAGAGAGAGGAGATATGCAAGCGATGAATCTGTCCGTCAAATTCGTATATTGCTGACTTGACGGATGTACGAATGATGGCGATGGATGACAGTGATGTCGTGTGACGTATGACTTTTTTCCGTGTCAGTTTATATAATATTATGCCGATTCTGATTTTTTGTTCCTATCCCCTTCCATTAGTGTTTCGGTCTCCAATCCGCGGCACCTGAGAACGCGATCATAATAAAAAACAATAATATCCAAAATGCTCTGACAGTCGTAAATTCGTAAATGAAATCATTGTTTGCTCATACCCTCATCGTTCCTAATGCTATTGACACGGACTTGGACTTCAATTGTGGTCATCTCGTTTTTTTGTTTTGTTTTGTACTCTGCTCAAAGAATAATCATTGCAAGAAGCAAGTCGCTACCCGCTATGGTTGATATGCTATATGTATCTGTGTTTGTCGCCTGGAGCATGACATTGTGTCGTCAGGTTCTTCTCCACCTTGAGCATGTTCATCACATTCATGTGTACCTTTTGCATACGAGTATGCTATGCTAGGCTATGCTATGCTATGATATGCTATGCTATGTCATGCTATGCAAATGGTAGATAACTTATCAACCCGTAGCACATGGGTTGATAAGTTATCTACCATTTGCATATGTGTATGCAATGCAATGCTATGCAATGCAATGCTATGCTATGCTATGCTATGCTATGCTATGCTATGCTACGCTGTGCTATGCTATGCTATGCTATGCTATGCTATGCTATGCGCTGATAAGTTATCTATATCTCTGTCTTTGTCGCTCAGAGTCTGACCATGTATCATCCGATTCGTCTCCACCTTACGCATTCTCGTCTGACTCAAATTCTTGTCGATTGTTTGCATAACTATGCTATGCTATGCTATGCTATGTGATGCTATGTTATCGTATGCTATTCTATGCCATGCTATGTTCTGCTGTGCTACGCTGTGCTATGCTTTGTTTTTTTTTAAACAAAAACACAAGCTCCATCTATTGGTGGGGAGCAACACCTACGCTGTGCTATGCTATGTTGTGCTACGGGTTGATAAGTTATCTACCATTTGCATACGTGTATGCAATGCTATGCTGTTCTATGCTATTCTGTGCTGTGCTGTGCTATGCTATGCTATGCTATGCTATGCTATGCTATGCTATACCGTGCTATGTTGTGCTATGTCTTTGATAAGTTTTTTTTTTTTTTTTTTTCCATTGATAAGTTATCTGTATCGCTCCTTTTCACACGTGGCAAGCATGTTCATCAAATTATTCTCTACCTTGAGGATGCCATGAAATTCTTTTGCACCGTCTGACCATCTCAGTCGGAAATTTTTTTTCTTGATTAACATGCTCGAACGGCGGACAACAACTTGATGGCATGCTCGAGGTGGAGAAGAGTTTGATGATTTTTGATTGCTATACGAGACAAGGACGGAGGAGGGTGGGTGGGGCCTCATAGGAATAGGGGGCTGCAAAAAAAA